TGGTTTGATAAAACATTAGAAATTTGAGCAAATGATCAAGCATCTGCAACAGAAATTGATTTTATCAAACTTATGACAAAACGATATATCGCAAATGGTACCAACCAGTTTTCAAGCAACATATTTCCTTTGGTTGTATATCTAATTTCTTTAACAATAATCACAATTGTACACTTCATTTTTAGAAAGAAAAGACGAAATTCCTCTGTCGGAAGTGCACAACCTACTCATAGAACAAGCGATGAAAGAAACATGACCAAAAATGTGATCTACCAGAGTTCTTCTCCACACACAAATGATAATGAACCTGCAGCAATGATGGTTGATAATATAATTTATGGACAGACGATTGTGTAATACTTAGAAAGACAGGCAATAAAAACTGAATCTTGCCTTTAAGCCAAACACAGTTATTTAGAACAGTGGTTCTCAAACGGTTTGGGGACGTAAAGCTAGTTAAAAATAAAACTTGTTAGATTCGATCTTGCCCGCCTTGTTTTGGATAGTTCCATTTCTTTATTTTGGATATTTACGTTTAGTATATTTAAGTTCCATCTACGTATTTTTAATTTGTTTTTCTTATTCGTAATTTCTTATGAAACTCTGTAACAAATTAATCTCTATTTATCTATTAACAGGAAGTATATATTAATTAACAAAAGTTTCACTGTTTTTGTCTTCCTGGGAAATGTGAATGAGGGCTGTGCCTTAATTTTAGTTATCGCTCTTTGTCGCCTCATTGTGGTGCATTATAATTGTGCAAGTTTATCTCTTGTATGCGCCCTTTCGGGTTTTTGTTGAGTTAAGTGACCGGGTCTAATGTTATCCTGTTATGTTGTTGTTTTTCCGTAGGTTGCCCACCCCTGACCTATATCATAGTTACAACCGTCAAACTAATGTAGTCAGTCTATCAGTTTGATAGCCGTAGATTTCTCACAGAAGAGACGCTTAAATGGAAATTGAACTTCCATGGAATTGGTTTGCACCTGATGACGTTTCCTTATTAACAATTTCCTATGTTGAAGTGATAAAAATGTGGAACATAAGATGTGGTAGTTTTATGATTTTTATTATATTTCGCGATAAGCGTGATGCTCTATGTATGCGATTCCAGGGCCAGAATTGTTATCCTTTATGCCAGTGGTTCTCAACCTTTTATGGCTCGTGGCCCCCTCCGGCGCCTTTTGCACTCGTGGCCCCCCTGTTCGCCATTCCAAAAAGCTGAATGTGTTGGATTGTATGTTTTTACTATCTTTTATGGAATGCAAAAGTAAACCACAGACAAGAAAGTAAAAGCTTTTTAGTATACAATCAATGGGAATCTTGCGCTTGGGACTGTCCGACGAGCTTTCTTATGATATTGGACATTGTCTTTGATATAGCCAGACGAATGTCACTGTTAACATCAAGACAGCTTTTAGATTTTGTTTTGATGGTAACAAGATCAGAAGAACCAGATTCACACACACAAGTTGCGGCAAATTGAACTAGCAGAGGAGGAGCTCTGTTGCTAAGTGGTGGGGGAGAATCTGATATGCCACTTCATAGCTGCATTTAAGAGCAGGCTCTTCTTCTGACAAAACCGAACCTTTCACCTGAGGATGATTTTTATCATGATGGTTTTGCAGTTTAGATGGACGTAATGATCATTGTTCAATACATACGAGCAATGCACGAACTATTTTGATTGGTAGATTACAAGTTCCATTATAATCAAACAATTCACGCGCAAGAAAGTGAATACACCCTGCGATCGCAAATAACCTATTCAGGTAATCAACATCATCTTTCCAAATCAAAATGAACGATAAATGAAACGCAAAAGGTAGTGATTTAGGACGGGAGTGTCCGAATAAATTTACTGGCACAAGAAATTGTACTCAGCAGGCTAGTTTGTATATGAAAGCTGTATGTGTGGTCATAGATCGTATCTTGCCTTCGACTGGTTCGTTGCGTAACAATTAAAAACTCGGCACTTCTCTCATACAGAGTGGGTTGTGAAAATAGCTCGTTTCATGCTGCAATTCACCAGTCTTACGATGCGTGTCTTCTAATAAATCAATTAACTCAATTGTCATACGTCTTCCGAGAAGCTGTATTTTAGTTGAAGTTATTAATAATCAGTCTTGATAAATCTGCCGCAGAATAGGCTGATAATATCTATCAGTATTTTAAATGGCATTTGGTCAAAAATTGAAAGATCGCAAGGCATATTCGAAAGTGAACACTAAATCGGCTACTGAAAATGAGTTAAAAACCGTAACTTGGTTCTAACTAAGCAAGACATTCAAGATAATTTGTATGAACACAAACCATAGATATATATAGTTGTCTACATTTTTATAAGGAGTGTTTTTTACTCACTACGAGTATTTATAAACAATTTGGGTACTCCAGTAGTGTGTGTAACAGTTAGGCCATAGTTTTATTCCGATTTTCCTTCTTTTAGTTATTGCTTGCAGATGCGATAAAGTACTGCAAAAACAAATTAACCATTCTTCAACCCCGTTGTTTCTTAAACTTTGCGAGCCAGCCGAACTCTTACGTAACTCTGGGGTTTTTCGTCGAACCCCAATGTTCTGAACAGTCAAAACCATGGGATCCCTTAGAACTTTATACGGGAAAGTCATTATTGTGCAAAGTATAGAAAATGCAACTGCCGTCAATTAACATAGCATGAATTTGTTACATATAGGTATAGGTTTTTGGAACATGTAATATTGAAGGGGTATCAACATGGGCCTGCTTTCCTGTTGCCCAGGACGAATTTCTGATAATGAAGCTTCCATACCTGACCTCAAATTAATTCGGGGAATAAACAAATTATGGATGTGCTATACATGAAAATTGATAAATTAATGGTCAAGTAAAAGGTTTGCATTATTAATAATTAAATCATCAAACTAAGCAACAAACACACATGTATCCACTGCCAGGGCAGCTGCCGCTATGGCTTTTCACTAGGTATCAACCACCAACCTCCATAGGTGCGCAACTGGTTATAGCAACGTAAATTGCCACAAGAGAACAACTACTCATAGTTATCGGAACGTGTCTCGTTTTTGATTGACATCATAGTTTATAAAAGGATACTCCTGAAATATGTGTACCAGGTTAGGGTTAGTCAGGCCGTAATTTTAGGTACAAATGCTTCGGGAGTCATTTAGATAGTCTCCGAAATCGTAATAGAACTAAAATACGAAAAATTGACATAAAATTCCACGTTCGGGTGTCCGCCATTTTGGTACGCATACTTCAGGAGCATCCATAAAGGACTCCTCAGATGAGTTTCCAAACAAACTTGGAACCACCACGATCATTGTGATGTAGCCTTAAATACTGATACACCATTTCGAAATAACCTTTGTTGTGTCACAATAACGTTAGCAACAGGGACCTTGTTGGGAGAAAAATAGGTAAACTTGTGCGGCTGGGAATGGGAAACTTTGACGAGGCAAAAATCGCAACTTTGGACATCTGAAAGCTAATACATCTTATATTGAGAGTGTTGATATCACAAGTCATTCACATGTCAGACTTTAAATACCAATCAGTTGCGCTATAGGATTTTAAAGCAGTGGCAAATTTTATGTACTACTGACTCTGTCAAATATAAATATTTCCTGTAGCGTGCGGGCCACATTAATTTTCGCCAATGAACAATCGTCACCTTAAGCAAAATGATGTCAACTTTGTATTGAGTTAGTTATTCAAATAGATATTTGAATTGCGTGTATCCATAGCGGGAGGTATGCACTCTCTTCACCTCCAGCTATTCTTACATTTACTCAACAATTGCGTTGCTCGCCATAGACTTGTTAGATGCTTTACAATATTACAATATTGTATCTCAACTACCACGAAACACAGTAAACAGTAACATAAGGTGTGACAGAGTTCACCACCTTCAAACAATGAACAATACAATTCTCTATCAATTTCGTTTAAACTGAAGTGAAAATTGTGATGGAGATTTAGTCACAAAGAATAAAAATATTAATAAATTTAAGAGAAAGAAAAATGTAAATTCATAACAATTTGAGAAATCTTTACATCGCCGCCTGTCATTCATAAAAACATTTCATTATGAGAACAAGAGGGCTTTGCTCAAATATATGGGCATGGAAAGTAATAGACTTCTAGTAAATAATACAATCTTTATACACTGAAAATATCAAAGCAATTGGTCCAGTAGAATATGAGAAAGGATATTTTTGCATAAGGATAAAAAAAAAAAGGCCAACAAGAACAAAAACATATAGCAAGTAAGCAACAATAGAAAAACGATCCATAGTTTCATTTCGTGTCCAGTAAAAATAGAAAATATGCTATATCACGTAAATAGTAATATTATACATTGAACTCTTAACTCAGTCAACAACTTCCGATCTGGAAATAATATAAATGTGTGGTTATAACAGCAAAGGTTTATACAAAATGGCAGGCAGGATATTACACACTCAATAGCGAGTATTTAAATTTATCAGATGGTCAAATATTTGAATATTGTTCATCCAAACTATGTGACGGCGATAATATCATATTGTTATATCACAGAATGATTTATTGTAAGTTTTCGTTGGCCAATGCATAACTTGATACAAAGAAAACAATAATCAATTTAAGTATAATATTCGTGACTGTTTGTCTCAATGTGGAATTTATTTTATAATAAAAAAGGTAGCAGAAAAAAAAATGGAAAGTGTGATCCAATGCAACGGTGTAAAACGGAATTTCAATGTAAAACGGAATAAAGGTAGTCTTCGCTAAGTGAAGAAGTTTATGTTGCTCAGGTATCGAGCGAAGGCATGTCAGCAAATATCTCAGACAGTGCATTTTATATATTTTCAGCAAAGCTTCACTTTTAGCGTACAGTAGTTAGAAATATTATAAAACTAAAAAATTAGACATAGGTGAAACCAATCCTTATAATGCTTTTGGAATAAAAAAAGGTCGAAGTTTTTGAAAAACGCAAATAACACAGCAATAGTATTGGGAAATTATGCTCTTTTCCGAAACTTCATCTCACTGAACTTCAGAGACTGGAAATTAAATTTCCAGGTATACCAAGTAACGGATCGCTTATCATTTCGCCCGTCTTGATAATATATCCCATTCAGATTTGAGTTGTAACAATATTTGTACCACCAAGCCCCACTCCAAGTGATCGCGCAACTGCCGGACGTTTGGTCATTGTCAGAATCTTTCGTACTAAACTCCATATTGTTATGATATGTCAATGAATCTCCTGCCGTTCCATTATACTCTCCAACTAACAACGTATAGTTTTCACTTGCAGATGAGATTGAGAAACTCCTGAAAACAAATGAAGCTTGATTCAATATTTCTGGCAGGTTAAGTAAACATTTAATAAAATATCTCGCGCGACGTTTATATTGGTAATATAAGAAATAAATTTGTATTCTTTAGGTAGGGACATCACACAAAATATCTGCAAAAATCGATCCTGATTCAACTAAACTGCTGTATGGCATGTGACTGAAATTTTTGTGCCGGTTGGGAAAATTTGGTTTTTCGATCGGTGAATAATTGTTGCAATATATATGCTGGAGAATTAGCAGAATGATCGAAATATTAACACTAGTCGATGCGGGTTCATTACCCGAAAATTTGAAATTTTTATCCAGAAATTTAGATTGATAAACTGTATTTCAATACTTATTTACCCATATTTAGCATAAACAGTGGCTCCATTAAAATCTTCCAAATCAACTCTTAGTTCGTAATTTCCGTCTTTAGTTAGTTGGTGGATTGTTTCAAGGCCTGAAATAAAAAAAAATATATGAATGCTGGTTGCATAGTACACAGGTTGTAATTTTTATTTGGGCTTCAGGAATTGAAAACCTAACATTGTAAAAATAGATCCTAAAACGTTTAAAATGAATTTGAGGTGTTCAATTTACTGATAAGCATTTGACTCTTAACTTCATACTTTGTTCCCGAAAAGCTTCTAAAGTTTCACGAGATTGCTTCCACAAGTTAACAAAAGCAGACGTTAAACTGAAGTCTGCGATATCTGTAGCTTGGAAAAATGATGAAGTTATGCATGTTTTTATTTTTACCTAAGGAATGACCACCCTCCTGGAACATATTTCCGAAAGACGATCTTTCGTACCCAGACGCAGCAGCCATGATTCATGTCACTCACTGGTAGCTGTTCGTATATTACCAATAAAACCGGCAAGATCAACTTGGCTAATGAAACTTCCCCTGCGTATATGATTTTTTTTAACCATGTCTCCTTCTATCTTCGTTGCTTGAATATAGGATGTCGCACATTTGCATCTCAACACTCGGGAGCATAGGATATGCCTTACTCTAAGTCGACATTTGGGTATGGATTTGGTTTCTGCGAGACTAACTACTTATCCTTTTTCTATACTTTTGTACCGGTGGATGCTGTAGCAAGAATGAGGATAACTATCCTAAGTGATCGAAGAGTCTTGCTACACACTGACACAAATATATTTTTGTAACGTTTTGTTTGATCAAGATCAGACTTCTTCAGACTCACATAATCAGACGAAACGTTACAGAAATATATTTGTGTTAGTGTGCAACAGAATTCTTGAATCACTTTGTTGTTATTATTGTTGAATTATATAGTTAATATCAATTTATCCTGTGAGAAAGTACCGTTTTTACCGGATTTCTGTTTCACATCATTTCAGCTTGTCTTATAAATTATATATAAATAGAATAAAAAAATTTGTGCAGATGCAAGCGGAAATTTCCATCATCCTTTGTATAACTAGTTGGCTTGCTATCTATGGACAAAATGAAGAATCATTTGTTGATGCATTGTGCATTATGAATGACATGAGCATACCCACCTAACCACATTTCTCTATCTTTTTCTCCGAATCCATTAACATAGTCGTTCCACCCTCTGTAGAAGTTTTCTGTCCCGTCCATTCTTCTTTGAAACACCTTTGGGTATATAAAAGTTTTTGTTGTAACTTTGATTCTTCAGCATCAGTCATCAATAGGTTTATTTTTTTTTATATCGGAAGAGTTACGCGGCGTGAAGATTTTATCGCCATTGGAAAGTATTTGGAATTTCAACAAAGTGCTTTAAAAGGTAAAGTAATCATTTTGTATTGTAAGACAGATTACAAAAAAGTTAGGTTAATATAACTTACGATCCAGCCATCTCCATCTGTAACAAGATCACAGTAAACTTCGACCGGTTTGTCTCCTAGTTCCGGATATATATTAAAGACTCCACCGGTGTTGTTTCTAATTTTTGCATATTCACGATTTACAGTTGTGCAACTCTTTGGAGAACCTGTGGTATAGGGCATGCTGCTTATGGAGCCCTCATGGCTCTGTGAAATAAACCAGGGGCTTTGCGAGGTATTCGTTCACTTATTAAAATACTGAACTGGATGCCTAACGAAGCTTTTAACGGCATTAATAAATTTGTCAACGATATCGTTGAAATATGGCAACAAGTCGGTAATTCAAATATGACATTATTTAAAAGTTCCTGGATAAGGCCGTATTTCAAATACCGCCGTGTTGTCAGATTTCGAAATTGCTTGTGTATTTTTTAAATACAAAGCAACAAATACATCCGAGTAATTAAATAAATTAATTTTAATTTACTCAGTAACTTTAATTGGTAGGTAAAAATGTATTTTATTTTTTATTTTTATAAATTTATTATGGGGCTCGGTGAATAGTAGTCAACCTATTCACTGGAGCCATAACACCAAAAGTCTGTGAACCCCTGACATGGAGAATATATGCAGTACTCTAATAGCTTCAAACAACAATGTCACAATGTTGAATTCACCGGCTTTTGAAGTTGAAGATTGAAAAATAGTTGTGCATAATATAGGTGTTGACGCGATGGAGCAAACATGTAATCATATTATTACCATGTAGGCAACCCGTATTTAGTGTAATATAACATACTGATTCAATACTTAACGTACCTTGTATAACTGATTTCATGAATCGTCGATGAGAACTGTTCAGACTTGATACATATTCAATACATTGATTTAGACTGATCTGCTGTTCATTAAGTTTGGAGTTGAATGCCTCTAAGTCTGAAATAAGATCGTACTATCACATCTCCAGGGATGGACATAACAGAATACTTGACTATTTCGAATACATTCTAAAATAATATTCTCGAATCTGGAATTTCGAACATTATAAAATCCCCCACATATTTTATTGACTTTTCCAAAATCCGTGGTTGGTAGGATATAGGATTTAAGCTTAATAATATTATCAACCTAAAGCAGCTATAAAAACAAATGGAATGTGTGATAATATTAAAATTAGGGGTTTTCTTGTTCTAAGAAAAGACACCTGATAAACATACAGTATTCACATCTTTGAATTGTGGTGTATTTTAGCAAGCACAGAAAAAAAGCAACTATGCGCCCAGTGAAATATTTTAGATTCTACAGAAAATGAGATTTCTTGTAACCAATGTTCAATCTTTTAACATTCGTTTGTTCGATGACTCAAATCAATTTCAGAATTAACAAATTACCATTTGTTGAAATATTTTTCAATTTGAAAAACGAATTGTTAATTTCAGATGTCAGATTTTCTTCAAGCCATTTCATTTGTCTAAACGACTGGTTTCCTTGAGGTGCCAATTGAACTTCCATATTTTCCACCTTATCCTGAAGCTGTTGTTATAAATTGAACGTTTTCAGTGTCCACATGTTGTTTAAGGAATACAGATGAGTGGCGGGGTCTAACTACTAATATCCTATTCATTGTAAAAATGTTCTTAAGAGCTATTATATACACTTCTGCGCTCATTGAATACAACTCGATTCTCATATACAACTCGATTCTCGATACTCATAGAATTACATACAACTCGATTCTAATATAGGTTGTCCGGTCACTTCAAACAATCCATTTTAAAACTTTTCAGGTGCCCTCATGAAATTCTTGAAAATATTCGCTCCAAATTGACTCGAAACTTAGAGCTTTTTTAAGGCAAGTCACGAAAGAAGGGAAATAATCTGATTTGACGCTATAGTTTTTCCATTAACCGAATATTTAATACGAATATTGGGGCAATTGCAGCGTATCTTATCAAGTATATTGAATGAGAAAGCGAGCCAGCGAAGATCTTTGAATTCGCTCCAAGTTTTTATTTTTAATTTTTAAATAACTAGTTATTCTGTATTGTAAACATGTAACATTTTGACAAAATTCGTTTGTCACACTGTTGCTAAAATAGACTGTAATGGCTGTTTATTGTGCAGATACATTTACACTTTTCCGGTTAATGATAGAATAACCGCAAATGTATTTTTCTAACCTGTGTGATGATTACAAGACCACAAACAACAAGCCCAACAATTATTGATATAAATATTGCCTGAGCAATGAGTCCTCTTCTTAATCTTGTGTCTTCAGTACCTGGAATGATAACAGAATAAATTAAAGAAACATAAGGCGAATACACCGATTTTGTTTTACTACTTATTGTTCTACTTTTGTATTACTACTTATTTTAGCGCCTTGCTTAAGACTATGTTTTGAACTACTCCCAATTATGGTAACCACTCATTTAGTACTCAACAAAGAAACCGACCCAAATGTTCTGGTTTAGCTGGCCATGACAAATTGTTAAATTACCGTGGTTTAGTGCAAGTGTTTCAACTTATGTAAATTATTATAATGTCTATTTTTTTAGTGATATTTTTTGTAAGTTCCGTACAAATTGCTATTTTTCAAATTGCTTTATCAATAATATCATAAAATCCGCCATGCCGACTTCAATACGGGTTTGGTACCAGACCAGAAATAATGATCAAACCTTCAAAATAAAAAAAATAATTCAAATAAACCATGATTTTTGTTCACTATCTTAATTTTTCTTTCAATCTTAGTCTTCGTGTATTAGGAAATTGCTTCATAATAACCGTATATTTGGTGCTCCCGAAGTATGCAAACCAAGATGGCGGACATCGGAACGTAACATGGGTAACAGGTTAGGGTTAGGCGATAATTTTTTTCCAATTTTCCTTATTTTAGTCCTATTATCAGTTCGAAGACTATCCAAGAGTCTCCCGTAGTATTTATACCTAAAATTATGGCCCAACCCTAACCTAGTACACATATTACATTCCGATGTCCGCCATCTTGGTTCGCATACTTCGGGAGCCCCGTATATTTTTTGCTGTACAATATTGCATTGAGTTCGAATCAGTAAAGCATTTTACTATGGTATCGATTACTCGGATTCAATTAAACACGTCTTGTCATGAATCCAGCCAATTCCAAACTTTTCTATTAAAGTTAATATTTCAACGTATTTATCAGGATACATCGAGTCAGGACGTTTTACTTTTCAAGTTAGAAATGTCGACCCTTTGGGTTTTAGAAATTGACTCCGTTTCCGTCATGCCTTGAGTTCAAAAATCTTAAAATACTTGCTCCATGATCATTGTAAATGGGAACATGAAGACCTCATACATCAACATCCAAAGTAAAGAATTGTGCTTGTAGAAAAATTGGAATTTATATTTTGTTTAGGATATTTAAAGACGCTTCGGAGGGCAGTACTTTTCAACCTTTTAGGTGGAGAAATCTCAATGAAACATATCAGAGACTAGAAAAACCCCTGTTCAATAGTTGATAGTATCAAGCAAATAAAAAAGCATCATTTGAATTCTTCGTGAAGAGCCATTTAAATGTTACTTGTATTAGGAAGGTTTAATATTCTAATCATTCTTAAGCAAAAAAATCAGCTGTGCAATGAGTTTTTCAAATAAAGATTTCGGCTTAGTAACCACACCTGTTCCTATACGCTTATTGTGGCGCAGCCCAGTATCGCTTTATCAGGAGGCAATTCAAACGTTGGCTTCGGCGACACGTCATCTACCTCCAGCTATTCTAACATTGACTCAACGATCTTTGCGTATTTTATGCGTAAAATATTTGAGGCCGATAAAAATCCTATCAAAGTGAGCGGTCGCGGGATTATTGTGAATGTTGAATTTTCACTAATTCTGCATATGGAATTAGTGTACTCTAAAATATTTGGCTTAATTTTTTAACAAGTTACGAGCTCAGCAGAGCAGCTCTCTATCGGGAGGCCATCCAACATACGGGCAATAAACCTGCCTGGGCAATAAACATCGTTGCTGTACTGTTGTCTGGTTGTACAATCGATCCTCCATATTGTTATTACAAAATTCGATACTAGAAAACTGACGGGTAAAGGAAAAGGTAGTGGTAAATAAAACATCTTTTCAGTGGATCTGCTTGCTGCCATAGCCTTATAAGATGCTTCGAATTCAACAGAGTATATCAATACCCTGAAACGCAGTATACATTTACTGCAATATGACCTGTGACATAAGTTCACCACATTTACAATTGATTTCAAACAATAAAACTCACGATCAATTTTATTTAGATTGACATGAATTATGTGATGTGGATTTTGGTGGAAAGAAAAAAAATAATAAATTTAACCAAATGGAAATTGATAATAATTAGAGAAATCTTCATATCGCTGCCTGTCTTTCATAAAAACATTGCATTATAAGAACATGATAGATATGCTCCAATATATATGGGCACGGAGAGTAATAGATTTCTATCAAAAAATACAATCTTCAACCACTGAAAATTTAAAAGCAACTGGTCCAGTAGGTAACGAGAAATGTTATTTTCACAACGATAATAAAAAAAATACCAACAAAAACATATAGCAAGTAAGCAGCATTGGAAGAACGATCCGAAGGTTCATTTCGTGTCCAATAAATAAGAAAAAATATGCTATATCAAGTAAATAGTAATATTATACATTGAACTCATAACTCAGTCAACAACTTCCGATCTGGAAGTAATATAAATGTGTGATTATAACAGCGAAGGTTTATACAAAATGGTGGACATGATAATACAGACTCGATAGCGAGTATTTAAATTAATCAGATGGTATAATATTTGAATATTGTTTATCCAAACTATGTGACGGCAATAATATCATATTGTTTATCATGGAATGTGAGATTTATTAAGTTTCGTTGGTCAATGAATAAAACTTAATACAAAGAAAACAACGATATTCAATGCAATATTTAAAGTATATTATTCATAGCTGTTTGTCTCAATGAAGAATTTCCTAATAAAAAAGGGTAGCAGAAAATATAATAGAAAGTTTGATCTAATGCAACAATGACTCACATTAGCATGTGGAGTTTTAAATATAGCAGTAGATACAAATATGAAATACAGAACAAAGGTAGATTGCGCTGAATAAGGAAATTTTCTCTAGCACAGGTATCGAGTGAAGTTATGTTACCTAATATCTCAGACAGTGCTTTCTATAAAGTTTCAACAAAGCTTCATTTTTGCATATTCAATGAGTGCAGTTCTTATCGTTTCAACAGTGAAAAGTTAGGTATAAATGGATGCGATCATTATGTAAATGAAGAAATTAATTTACATGGGAAACGAAAATGTCAAATTTTCCAAAGAATGTCGTTTTTATGCGAGATACCATTGCAGTCCAAATGCCATTTGATGTTTAAAATGTTGCAATGACAAGAAACATTGAAATATTTCTATGCGGCAATAATTATTGGCTGAATTACGTTTTCTCCCTGAACTTCATCTCCGTGAACTTCAGGGATTTACCATTCTTGAAGCTATTCCAAGTAACCGATCTGTCCCCATTCTGGTAATAGATGCCGTTCAGATTTGAGTAATAGCAAGTTCTGTACCACCAGGCTCCTTTGTACATCTGTGCGCAGCTGCCGGAACAGCACCATCTATCATTATCAGAATCTTTTGTGGAAAACTGCATATTGGTATGAGGCGTCAATGAATCTCCAGCTGTTCCATTATACTCTCCAACTATCAACCGATAGTTATCGCTTGCAGATGCGATAGAAAACGCGCTGCAAAAACAATTTGACCATTTTTCAATCCAGTGGTTGTTAATCCTGGAACTCTAAAAATAAATGATCGAATGGGACTGACTTTCGGCAACCATATATTATAATAATGAGATCTGAATGTCTGATCGATATTCAATTTTTCACATTTATGAATAGGATATAAATTTGAGCAACTGTGTTTTCATGGGTAGGAACATCACATAGAATATCCTTAAAAGTAGATACCGGTTTTACCCAGTTCAACACATTTAGTTGCTACAGTTTGATGATATATGACTAAAATTTAATGAAGACATAAAAACGCCAAATCCCGGTCAGGAAATAATATTGCAGTGTAATGAAACTACAAGTGCTACCTCGATAGAATAATGAATATCATTGACGGGGGTGATCTTATATAATCATTGTCCAAGCATTTATCGCTTAATACCAAATTCACTAAGGTTCATTATATTTTACTACCTACCCAAATTTAGCATAAGAAGTGTTTCCAACAAAATCTTCCAAATCGACTCTTAGTTCGTAACTTCCGTTTTTAGTCAGCTGATGGATTGTTTCCAAGCCTGAATGTGGAGAATGTAAACATGTGAATTGCTGGTTTTGTTGCGTACACAAAGTAAAGAAGGATGTAATATTCAAAAGTGCCTCAAATTATTGCAAACTACACTAATCAAAATGAATCATGAAATAGTTTACACTGAATTTAATGTGTTAAGTTATTATATTGAATTCAGTACACCGAAATTTACATACAGAACACCTGGCTATCTAAATTCTAGACTGAATCAAAACAATTGAAGGCTCAATAACGGGCACTTATATGATGCATAAAACATAGCTGGCATCGAGAGGATGAATTCTATGACACGAAGATGGTCAAAATTTCAACATGTTTTGTGCTTTCATTGAAATACTACATTTATGCTATAATACAACTGGCTTCTTGACGATGTAAGTGTTCTCGCTAAAGAAATGTTAGACGTTGTACACATTACATCAAATTTTGACATTTGATATTTTTTATGCAGACAAGCACTTCACCGACCTAACCACATTTCTTTATCTTTTTCTCCGAATCCATTGACATAGTCGTCCCACCCTCTGTAAAAATCTTCTGTTCCATCCATTCGCCTTTGAAAGACCTTGGGAATATTACAAATGCAGTTACAATGTTGGGATAAATCGATCACAAAATAGGAAATGCTGTTACGCAACTTTGAGTTGATTCGATCAAGAAATGATTTCATCTACATACAATAGGTTAAGTATTTTGTGACATAAGCAACAACGTTACAGATACCTCGATCGATTCAGTACTGTTAGTAATTGCTAATACAAAAAATTATACTGAAAAGTAGTAGAATAAATATAACATACGATCCACCCGCCTCCATCGGTCTCGAGATCGCAGTAAACTTCGACAGGTTTGACTCCTGATTCCGGATATATTTTAAAGACTCCACCGGTGGTGTTTTGACTTTTTGCATAGCTACGTTTTGCATTTTTGCAATCCTTCGGGAAAACTGTTAACAATTGTATACAATACTGTAAAAACTCCCGAAGTACATAAACAACTTCGTCTGTGGAAGGGACCGTCCTCCAATGAAGAGAAGGTGCCGAATGTTACGTAAAAACCGTGCTAAATTTGGTTCATTTCAGATCGAAAGATTTTTTAAATTTTACATAAAGGCTGTGCATTAAGCAAATATTATTGGGGCAATTCTCAGCAAAGCTGTGACCTTATATCTACAATTTATGTAGGTCACTTATGATTGATGTTTGAAAACCATTCTTCAATACTTGGCCTACGTTTTTGTATCGCCAATATATTCAATTGTTGGTGTGAACGATTCAGACTTGAAACATCTTCACTGGTTTGATTTAATTGAATCTGTTGTTCATTAAGTTTGTAGTGAAATGCCTCCGAGTCTGTAAAAGGATGTATTACATTTCATCACATTGCAGCAGTGATTTCTATTCGTTGCATAATAAATATAAACAGCGAACAAGCCAAGGCTCGGAGATATGGAATCTACAAGACCACACAGCAAATACGATTGAATGAGTCATGGCTGAAAAAAAAAATTAAAATTTGATCATATTTCTACAACATAGGCCTATGGTTAGCATTGTGAAAACGTTTCCGATTCGTTATTCAGCCACACCTTGTATCATTGATATCGCTAATTGATGTTGTGAACGATTCATGCTTGCAATTGATTGATTAATTTGAATCTGTGTTTCATTAAGTTTGAGATTGAGCTCTTCTGAGTCTGCAAAAATACAGGTTATGATTATTTAGTCGTCATGCTGACTGAGACGTTGACAGACCAGATGAGCAAGAAATATCACTGCCATATCAGCAAAAAAATGTTTACTGCACAACGATGATGAAATTATCTTCACATGTAGAATAAAAGCAATTACTAGGACATGTACTGAGATAGCAATTGGTAAATAACAATTTAAACCATACACTAATATTTCTCATACTTCCAAAATGAATTTGATAAACGAACAACCAGAATGCTATACACCAGGGTGGTCCAACCCTGGCACGCGGTCCGTAGACACATTCTGTGCGGCAGAACAATTTTAATTTTAGCGGTAACTAAACCATTTTCATAAATTCGTATTTATTTGTTTTTTTGAACTGTTCCAACTTACGTTTGTATGTCGATATTTGAACCCTTTCCCTAATTCCGATCGCGGGAATGTTTGTTGAAATCACGAAATTTCAATGTTGTATCTATAAACGTCGAGACGGTGATATGGGAATGACGTCCTGTGATCGGTGAATGGATTGTGAAGACAGCACTCAGCCGATGAAATGAGTCGCGCTTTTCATTTAAACTTCGCACCTCAAGCTCGCATCAATTAACTCCTTATGAAAAGATGTTTATTTTAGTAAAACACTATTTTCAAGCGTGGGCCATGTGACAGCAGTGACGTAACGCTGAGCTGACTTAGCGCCGCGCAATCCATTTTATTTTTTGAAGCTAGGTCCCAAAATCCCAACTTAGACGGACTTCTCGGTTGCCATTTGCCGATCGCACTACGCCTGCTCACGCTGCGAGTTATAGTTAAATATAACAATTCATCATCAATAGGCCTATTAAACGGTAAAGTCTTATTCTTTATATTTACAGTAAGTAAACTCGCGATTTTGACCGTGGCCCGCGAGACCTTCTCAAAAGTTTATGCGGCTCTTCAACCTTAGACCACCCTGCTATATATTATCGAATTATATTTGTGACAAACGGGTGATTTCATCAGAAAATGTTCGGATTTACGTGAATCAATTTTAATACAATCTTGCAAGTACTGTAGCACTACTGATTCCAAGTATGGAAATTACCACGTTTTACGGACAAAAGCTGCTGAATAGAATTATTCAGTGATTTTTCAAGTGTTTCGTGAAATTGGTGAAGACGTAACACATCTTCAAGAGACGAATTGAATTGACCAGTCAGTTTCGAAAAGTCTTCAGAGCCTGTGACGAAAGCAAATATAGTTGGTGTTGGTGTGCATACTGTCAATAAACATATCCGTTTTGACGTATGCTAGCAAGTTTCAACCCAGGATTCGGAGTTCCAACAATACCATATTTATGAAATATCGATGAAGAATTTTGGGGCCTGAAAACATTACTGATACATCTATATAAAAAAATGGAATGAAATAACATTCTTCATTTCACTACTATTTGGATTGAAAAAAGGCCGATAAAATTCAACTACAGTTGACGAGATTGCTTTTATTCGTAAAGAACTAAGATATGCAACAGACAAATATGTTATGATTCCCTCGCGAGTTGACACAACAATAAAATATCAGATGTACTCATTATATCGATATCGAATTATCCAAGTTTTTGTTGTTCGAATACTGAAATACAGTGGGTTGTTTCTTAAATACAAAAATATAATATCTTCTGTTACCTTGCTTCTGTGAACGATTCAGATACAAGATGGTTTCGATGGTGTTGTTAAGTTGAGATTTCTGGTCAGTCAGTTGTGTGTACAAGTAATCGAAATCTGCTATATTATTTGAAAGTTAGGAAAGAAAATAGCGTCAGAAACATGCAAATGGTGGTGCATAGTTGTATATGACTTCATTCATCCCATCCAAATTTTAACTAAACAGTCGGTACAGTCGGTCCATCCCATACCCGACATGGACTAATACGGTAACCGGATCTATCCTATCTACGCCAAGACAAACTTTTTTGGCATTCGAACTAATGTTTCTCCGAGATTTACGGACCATCGAAAAGTTTATAAACTTGATTTACCTTTTGTTTTCTGATCAGAAAAAAGCTCATCGGAAGAATTGACTTGTGGGATCTGCTTCATTTCCAATAGCTTTATTTCATTCTGCATCTGTTCAATATGGGGCAATATTTATAAGTTCAATAAGTTTTTTACTTTTTGAAAATCAATTCTTTTTATGGCGCGAGGTAACAGCCCCATACTACACTGGGGTCTAGCACGATATATTCGGTTAAGTGGGACCTGGCGGCATTCGCTAAACCTCGTAAAAAGTAAGGTTTACGAACACGTGTCTGTAAAAAGGCAAAAGCGATCTATTGTACGTGCGATTCATAAAATATTTCGTAAACACTTGACAAACGGTCACATACATTCTCTCGAAATCTTACGCACGGTCACATACATTCTCTCGAAATCATACGCACATTCTCTCGAGATGTTACGCACGGTCACATACATTCTCTCGAAATCATACGCACATTCTCTCGAAATGTTACGCACGTTCGCCTTTGAACAAAACCAATTATTTGGTTACTCAGTCGCACAACTTGCCGCCTGGAGCTGGCGAGCAGGTTTTGCAAAGATCGGTCGGCCTGCTCTGCCCAACTTCCTGTAGTCTGTATTTTTTTTATTTAGGTCTTGTAACAATAATCTAGCAATCCTTGAAACGCATTTTCATATACCTACGATTCTTACTGTCAACCGTAGTACCTAGGGAGATATACCTACCAGTAGGCGTAAATGGGTCGGCGCTTTTGTGAAAATTTTCTTTCTGATGTAGTTTACTGGATTGTGTTGTCCCGTTTTTAACAAGCGAATTTCCCTATGTTGGAAATTCAAGACCGCATACTGCAGTGGGATCGAGTCCGATATATTTGGATCAGCCTGACCAGTGTTCAATTCATACGACCGCATTGAAGTTATCAGGCTGGTGCTCTGAAGCGGGATCTTATAGAATAGATCAGGAGCGTGCAATTGTTTATCGCATATCCATATGCCGCAGGCGATGTTAGTATTTGGCGTGCGAATCTTTACTCCAGTATTAAATATAACATTTTTATCTCGATTCCTTACTTTTGAATGACCTAATGCTCGACTTTTCTAGTGTCGCTGCTCGATAACCTGTTCTGCTTTTTCACTCTGAAATGCAATTTTTTACCTCCATTTGTATGTACAACGTGTATTTTCAACATGGTGAAAAAATAAACTACTGATTACTGCAATGGGCCTAAAAGTAAATTTATGGTGAAGTTGAGCGCCGGACTTACGCCATTTACAATCAACCTTAATTTCTACTAATAGACATTTCGATGTTTTACTTGTAGACTTTTTGATCACAATACGGCGCCGATAAGAAATATCACGTTATTGAGTTCTTTTCCCTTCAACCCACTGATACTGAAAGACCAAATATTGTTTGTTTCATTAAATATTAGTTATATTCCACTTACCTGTCTGATCATAACAATATTGAAAGTGGCGAGTGCAGCAATCATTGCCAAAAGTATTATTAAAGTTATCACTTCATTTCTGATCTTTGTGTTTTTGTTCTCTGAAAATATTTGAAATGCATAGGATATTGTAAGTATAATGTCAAATATTCCGACAAATTTTACTAAGTTTTTCTTTTCTTACAAAGTAAAACATGAAAAATAAACGGTATGCAATGTTTATCTCTTTTAGAATTTTGTAAAAATATGATGCAAGGCAGCAGTATGCATTTATCAAAACATTGAAATATGATGGAAACGAGACTACATAACCAAAACCTAAAATAAAAGTCAAAATATCCTTGCTCTATAGTCTAAGGCGTCTTTGCTTTCATAAAATGAATAAATGACATAGCTAATAAACGAGCAAGAAGTCATAATGAAAATTTAGAGTGAACGTATGACATCTTATAAATAACTCCTGAAATACCTTTGCGCTTCTTTGGTTGAACTTGAACACACGTCATTTCATAAACGTTGTCATACGTTGGTAAAGTGTTGTTTCTCTCTGGATTTGGATTATCTGGAATGTCACAGTAGAATTCTGTCTCAGCCGTAGACATCTTGACTGGTCGCTCGATTCTCGCAAACGATTCTTCCAGATGTTTGATATCTAATTTTATACAGGTATAACTGTGATGTAATATTCCGTAGTCATGGGATGAGTAAATGCATTTAAGCAGAATAATCAACTCATCAAACATAACATGTCTTAAAGCATTTAATAAACAAATAAGTTAGGATGTTGTGAGTGGTATATGTTACTCGTCAGTTCGGAACAAAAATGTATTCCTGCATCTCAAATACTAACGAACAAGCACAAGATTGTAGTCAAAATATATGACTGTATGGGTATTAAGTCATTAACGAGGAATTTGTGAGTGTTTACAAAAATTGTGTCATCAATGTTTTAGTTGTTTTTTGGAATTACTCACTGTTTGGTCAATTAAATAGAGGTAACATAGAATTTATTAAGTATGCATGTTTTGATAGCATTCCTAATCGATGAGTAATCATTAAATATGTTTGAGTCAGTGGAATGTTTAGTTGGTTCTTGTCTATTTCAATGTAGATATTTGTCGCATAATAAACAAAGTTTGTGATTAAATATTCAAGTCCTCGTACCGCGCTGGTGATTGGGATTTGTACCGACACAAATTTTTTACGGTTCGATACCTACAAAAAGGTGACGATACCGATATTTCGAATTTCCGACAAACCAATATTATGCATTTAGCATTGTTTTTGTGAGAGTACCGGACGTGCTGAATATTATTTACAGTAAACATTATTTCAGCTAGAAGAACAGAGTTATCCCTGAACTAAAAAACGCACAACTTTAAATCCGTGATTCAAATGCATAATAACTGAACTCACTATGGCTTATTAAAACGCTTGAATTAATTGCATTTAACGTTGGCTATGCAAAGATATACC